ATAGATATGAGATAAATTATACATATATAAAACACACACATATCTTAATACATTTTTTAGTTTTTAAAAAAGATTTTATTTATTTATTCATGAAAGACACACACAGAGAGAGAGGCAGAGACATAGGCAGAGGGAGAAGCTGGCTTGCTGCAGGGAACCTGATGTGGGACTCGATCTCAGGACCCTGGGATCACACCCTGAGCCAAAGGCAGACGCTCAACCACTGAGCCACACTGGCATCCCCTATTTTTTAATGAAAGAAAAAGAACCTAAATGAAAGTAAAGATATGTTAACTTTAAATACATCTTTCTTCAGCATCGTGTGTTATTTTCTAAAACATTCCTTTCAGGTTAAGAAAAGAAATTATAAGATCAATTAAGAATTTTGTGTCATTAGGTTTTTTAGCTAAATCATTCAACTTAAGATCACACCAATTCTCTTTCTCTGACAGATGAAGTCATTAGCATGATGTCATTTCCTCTGTCCCATCTTGTGATTTTTGTTAGTTATATTTTTATGCTGTCAAGATATAACAATTTACATTCTTTTCTTTGACCTAATTTTCACAATTATGTAATATTTACTTGATATTTAAGTGAAGGCAGCACTCCTCACTAGTCCTTTTACTGTAGCTCCTCCATTGCTAGACTCTTTCATTTTTTTTTAAGATTTATGTATTTATTTTAGATAGAGAGTAAGGGGAAGGGCAGAGGGAGAGGGAGAAGGAGAAAAGCTTGAGGAGACTCTGCGCTCAGTGCAAGCCTGAAGGATGGCTCCATCCCATGTCCCTGAGATCATGACCTGAGCTGAAATCAAGAACTGGACGCTTAACCAACTGTGCCACCCAGGCGCCCCTAGACTATTTTGATTTGGCTGAAGTTTATGGCTAAGCATTTTTTTTTTTAAAGAAGGACTCAAGCCACCAGTAACCCTTAGGATATTCTTTCTTTCTTTCTTTCTTTCTTTCTTTCTTTCTTTCTTTCTTTCTTTCTTTTTTTTTGCTTGCTTGCCTTCATTCTCCAATGACATGTTGGCTGCTGGGAATATCAAGCTTACTTCATACTTTCCTTTTCAGAGCTACTTTGTAGCCTCTTCTCCCTTATGTTAGCCTATTGAATATTGCTATGAGGTAGTCTGATGCCAGTCTAAAGTTTTTACCTTCCTAAATGGCTTGCTCTCAGCCTAAAAATTTCTAGGATATTATTCTTATTCTAGGAGTATTGGTATTGAACATTTTGTATCCATTTTCCTAGAACACGATGAAGAGATTCTTTAATATGCATTTATCTTTTCCTTTCTTCATTTCTGTAAGATAAGCTTGTCACTTCTGTGTGGTAGGAGTACCTTCTCCAATTTTGTCTCTTTCTTCATAGGAGTCATTTCTACGACACTGTCCTTGACAGACAAATGACAAAGTCACCCACTGCATTCATCTTGCCCCACACCTGGGTCAGGATTCCATGGACTTTGCAAGTGGCTCTGAGGAACAAAGATAAGTGAACTTGCCATGCTCTGTTGTGACCTTCTATTTTGTTTCCTCTGCAATTTCCTTTTTCTTTCCTTAGCTACCACTTTTTGATGTTAATAGCATTGAGCTATTTCTATTGATGATGATTTTTCTGGCCTTTTCCTACTTTTATGACATTTCTTACTAGAAGACAGTTTTATTCTTCCATCTTAATATAGATGTCCCCAGAATTTATATTTCTTCTCCTGAGCTAATTCATATGCTCTCAAAGTTCAAGATCAGTGATTCATGTATTCTTGTGCCCAATAATACTTGCTGTTTATCACTTAGGATATACTTATCCTCCCTTATACTCATCACTTAGGATATACTTATCACACTTAGGATATACTCAGTGTGACTTTATTTGCAAAAGGAAAATAAGATCTTCCGAGATGCTATATATCGTGAAGTTGTGGCAATGAGAAAAATGAGTTACTATTTTAGAAAACTTTCTCACATTCAAGAGAAAAGATGTGATTATTGTGGTTTCCACGTTCTCCTTTTATGAACTGAAGCATTTGCTCGAGTGTTTAAGTCTTTCACCTGTCTGGGTACTATAGTGGCTAAACTCAGAGATTTTATTCTCAATTGCATCTTATTGGAATAGCTGTTATAGTAGATTAATTAAAAATTCCCTTTTCTAAAAATCCTTTTCATGGAGACCTTAAAACCTTGAAAATAGGTAGTTATTCATTCTTGATTGTCATAAATAACATGGTTACTGTTAAATGGTTCATTCATTTGTTTATGACTTAAAATCCTACCATAAGGGAAATGACGCAGCTAAAAAAGAGGGATGTGGGGAGGATGAAGCCCAGAAAGCAGCAAATTGTTTTGTATCTATTTACAATACTGTTCACACTGTATAGATTATTACAGAAGAGCAAAGTAACATAAAAGGATTTCTCTCTTTGGTCTACTCCATGGCCAGGCAAAGTAAAAGATGAACAGCTGAACACACAGCACTGGGAGGCCCGTGAATGCTTCACTGTGTAGTAAATCAGGAAGATAAAAGACATTAAATAAATATTCATATGAATTCCTAAAACCAAAAGCTGTGTGCTGGTTTATGATAATAACCAAGCGGTAGCCCACCTTAATCTGATGCCAAATGAAGGTCCATAGGCCCCTCTCAAAGCCAATAACCTTATCTTTCTACTGAGAGATCAGCAAGTTTAACAGGTAGATTTATGTTTATGGCCAAGCTTTCTTAGGATTCTGCCAATATGGCACCAACCTATTGAGTGCAGAAGTTGCTCAACTTCCTTTTCCTCTTCCAAGAATTTCTCAATATCTCTGTTCCTTACTGTAGATGTTCCATCTCAGATTGATCATGAAAGACACTCAACTTTCCAGATCCACACTCACCTTTACTTTCTGAGATCAAAAGGCCACTTCTTAGCACACGTCCTTTTCTGTTCAAGCCTCAAGAACCATCACCCCACAGACTTACAGTAAAGACCCATGGAAGAAACACTCTCGGGATCATGATATCTAGGGATTTGGAAAACTTAGGATGCCTCATGGTGCCATATGAATGTAAGGTATACATATGAAATGAGCCAAAAAGTAGGCGGTAGAAAACTTGGCTTATAATGACAACGTATTTCAAAGCTGGATATATTTTATTTACAAATAATGTTTAGATACAGAAGTTAATCAGATATTCTCAAAGATCCCCAATGTATTAGCACAGACACACCAGAGAAGAAAGCGCATTTCTATATTTCTGCCACATGATTTGACAGCAGGGTCCAGGACTGGTTATAACCAGCATCTTAGTAGATAGACATGGTGCTAGATCACCTGCAAACTACAAGCGTTGGGTTTATTTTTATAGTAGATCTTTCTGAATGATTTCCCTTAATACTTCCATTCCCATTATCCACATACTGTACAATCATATCATATTGATTATATGACTTCAGATCAATTTAAACTCATTCTCCAATTGTCATAAGTTCTGTTAAAAAATATTTAGAAATAAAGCACATTTAAATTTTAACTCCCTCTGCTCCCTCTCACAGCCATTCTTTCTGTGAATTTATTCCAGCCATGCATCATGTGAGACAGTCTAACAAAGCTGATAAGAGAGTGTTTTCATTTATCTAATATTATCAATAGTATCCATCTTGGAAAGTGTAACATTCTGGAATTCTAGAAGTAAATCTTAATATCAATTATATCATATGTGCTGATATTGGCTTTAAAAAAAAACAAACATAGACATTGATATTCTGAAGCCAAAGGTTTTTACTAATGGTCAGATTCTTTCTCTGTCTTCAGTAGCACCAACTCAATGACTGTTGTGAAACCCAGACAATGGGGTTCTAATGACCCCAGAAATATGTGCCTTTTTGATATGGGGTAGAAGTCATACTATTACAATAACGATAGCTTTTTTCATATGCAGATGTATCTCCATTATTGTAGTGTCCAAAACACTGCTACTTTATCATTTCCACTGTATTTTCATGCTTCAGAGAGTTTTAAAAAATGGTTTCCCCATTTTCAGTGCTATTTATTCCTGATATGTATGATTTTCATAATCTCAAAAATATAATTTTAATTTGTGAGTGGGAAGGGAAAAGTTCTTATTAGGAAGGTACTAGTGGGACGGCAGAGCCTGATGACAACATAGTATTTAAAAAGCCCCAAAACTCTTTCCATGGACGCTGTACCCCAAAATCAGACTCCAGTGTATCCCCAGGGTGGAATCTATAGTTCTAGTTGCTCCTCATGGGGCTGCTAAAAAAAATTGGATCATTGGCAACTCATGCATATATACCCATCATTTGTCTTATTTTAATTTGAGATAGAAAAAGAAATCCACATTTCTAAAGGACTTTTGCACAGAGAGTGAAAACCAGCTAACAAACCATGGAGAGAAAAAAAAAAAGAGTTCTTAAAAACTTAAACTCCTCCTTTTTAAAAAGTAATATAAATATATGCCTTGAAAGATCCTGAGGGACTGAGTCTTAGAATTTGCCTTTGCTCAATTTGATCTTGGACCTGAACCCAGTGAAGCCTTTGAATCCATATTTGAAGTTGACAAACTCCATTCCTTCACATATCCGGCATATCTTTTTTAAAATATTACAGAGAACACAATAACAATATTTCAGCAAAAAGGATTGCTGGTTAAACTTGCAAAAAGATGCATAAAAGGCAAAAGTAAATAAACAAGACAGAAACTTCAGGAAAAAAGAACTTTAACTTTAAAAATAAATTGTGCTGCAGAACTACTTTTGCAATTACAGTGTCGTGTTTGGCCCCGCTATGTTTCAGAGGCACCGCGTTAATATAAACAGAATCGTCTAATGCACTTTTTCAACACAGTGTTTCCCAGCCAAGGGCTAGCACAAATTCATTCTACTGCTAGGTGCCGATGACACTTTGGTTTGCTTTACTGGCAACATTTTGGCAACACATCCTATACTAAGAGGAAGGCTGGAAACCAAGCATATGACAAGAGCCAAATCCACTGTGTTACTTCTTTTCATGCTTCTTGGTTAATTCCCCCACGCCCAGTTGGAGGCTGCCCCGGCTGTCACTGGTTCTCTCTCCCCTCTGCTGGCTCTCCTGGGAGACTTGCTGCACAGCTTGCAAGATGGCATTCTGCACAATCTGTTTGCTGGCTTTCTGCAGTTTCACCTCTTCAGGCTCATTTCCAGGTTTCTCACCTAGCCAAAAATATGAAAGGGAGATAAAAAGAACAAAATCAATTTCAGGAACTGTTACTTTGGAAAGGGCAGGCGGGATAGGTGAGAACTAAGAAGGTGCTAGAGTGGCCTGGTTAATTGCTACTGTCTCCCTTTCCATTTGTTTGCCCCAGTCGTGTGCCCAACGTATATTCTCACCTTCTCAGAATCCTCTGCTGCCAGCAGGTGTCATGAGAATACAGTCCCGGCCAATCAGGACCTCTGGGAAAGTTCTGGAGAAAGATAAATTCATGCCTCTTTGGGCCTTTGACACCCCTTCTTTCTATGCAGGATGCAGACATAATGCTTTTAGGTGCTGCACCCAAATTACAATAAGCATGGGGATGAAAGCCAACATTCTGGCCATGGCTGGGGAGAAAAAAGAGTCTAGTTTTGAAAGTATCACTCAGCATCCACATCAGCCCTGGACCATGTACTTCTGGACTTCTTTGTATGTGAGATAAATAAACTCCTTGTAGTTGAATCTGCCATTAGCCAGGTTTTATGTTATTTGCAACTGAATGTATGCCTAATCGATTTAATTTCACCAGGGCTGGAAAAGAATGGATTACTACTGAATCTGTTTTAGGCTCCTATAACATCCTGAGGAATGAAGCCTTTTGTTCATCTGAATCTGTCCTCCATGACCTAGAACAGAGAGGTTGGCAAACTTTTTCAATAGAACCAGAATGGAAATATTTTAGACTTGTGGGCCATACAGTCTCTATGACCCAACTACTCAGCTCTGCTTATTGTAGTGCTATCAACAATACATAAATGAATGCCTATGGTTTGGGTTCAATAACTCATTACTTACAAAAAAGAGGTTGTGGGCCAGATTTGGCCCTTAGGCCATGGTTTGCCAACCCCTAGTCTAAGAATGGTGGGAATTTTCTAATTAGAGGCAGGTAGTCTACCCATAATTGAGTCTTCTCTTCCTTATTAAAAGCAAGACAAAACTTTGATTTTATTCAGGCAGCTATGTAAGTAGGTATAGCTAAGGTCTGATCAATGAGGTGAAAGTTCATTTAGTAAAATATCTGGAAAAGGTCTTTAAAAGTAAATAAGTAGACAAAGGCCCTGTACCCTCTCCCCATCCCACTGTGACTTGACACAATGGCTCTCTCTACAGAGGCTTTTGTTAACCATGAGGGAATCTTTAGAATGGAAACCATTTTCAGGTATTTGCAGAGAAAAACTCAGAAAGAGCCTAAGAACCCAATGACCAAGAGCCACATATCAGTCCTTGGCTGCCCACTTTCAGGACTCTTTCATGTTCAAAAAAATATGTATCTTATTTCATGCACTGTTATTTTGGACTTTCTTTTATTATGCAGCACACTTATTGCTAACTCATGCATGGCAGAATAATCATGAATCTAACATTTGACTAAAGTGCAATCATGAAAATTTCAAATTCCACCTGCTTATATTTAGAGTGACAAATAGAATGGTCATCATTTGTTATTCAGAACCATCATTTCTGATGTTTCCTCTATTGAAATATGCTGCTGCCATGAAAATGTATTTAAAATTGGGGGTTGTTCACTGGGATTGATTCATTGACAACAGAATGTATATACCCAGGAGAAAAACATCACATAAGAGAATACGGAGTCATTCCAGAAGACCAGGCAGCTCTTATCCCTTGAGACAGAGTTGTCAATTATTTAGCAGCATTTGTATCACTAGCACCATTTCCTGTGGGATTTACAGTTTAATGAACAAAGTAAGATGAATCTATTCAAAACCAAGGGACAATCCTCATCTCCCTCCCCTCAAAAAAAAAAAAAAGAATAAAATGAACAATCTGCAGCAAAGTAAGCAGAGAAAGAATCAAAAGCTACAGTGTATAACAGATAGAAACTTTAAATTAGCTGAGAAGAATACTTCAAATATGCTCTGCAAAAAAAAGAGTGAACAGTAATAATAAGGCTAGGGCACGATGATTTAGATTTTGTGCTTTGAAGCACTTCAGAGCTGAGTCCAGGTTCTTTCTACCACTTTATAGACTTCCAATCTTCGGCAAGTCATTTAGACTCTGTAAGCCTGTTTGTACATCTGTCAAATGAGCAATTAGTATCTATTTTAGGGTAGTTGCTAGAAAATTAAGTGACATGACATTTATTCAGCACTCAGTGTGGCTCCTGAGTACTTAGTGTCCACCACCATCTTTTGGTTAAGGCATAGACTCGGCTATTGTAACAAGGAAACTCAAAAATCCACCAGAAAACTCACACAAGAAAGTGATAATTATTGCCCTCTCTTGTAGCAGCCCAGAGGTGCTCTGGTGTGCAGGTGACCCTCTCAATCAGGTTACCTAAAGGGTCTGCCTCCTTCTAGCTTATTGCTCTGCCATCTCCTACTATATTGACCTCATCTGCATGAATAGAACTGATTCACCAATATCCCATCTGGGGCTAGAAGGCAGTCAAAGGGCAAATGGAAGGTAGGTGATTTCCTTTAAAAGGATCATCATATAAGTCACAAACATCACTATGCTCACATTTCATTGGGGGAAACTGAGTTACAAGGCCACACCTGACCACATGGAAGGCTGGAAAGTAAGTTGCAAACTGGACAGCCATAAGGCCTCCTAAAACCAGGGAGGTTCTAACGCTAACACCAAGAAGCAATTACAGATTTTTTGAAATTACTTCTGTGGAATCGTCAACGCTAATTTGAAGAGGAAGAGTATAAATTTACAGCAGGTCATTATGATACCCGGGGAGCCCTGTCTACTACCACTATAGAGCATAAATGTGTAGACAAACAGAAAAGTTTAAAAAGGTCCTGTTTGTGGGATGCCTGGGTAGCTCAGTGGTTGAGCATCTGCCTTCAGCTCAGAGTCCCAGGATTGAGTCCCACATCGGGCTCCCTGCGGGGAGCCTGCTTCTCCTTCTGCCTGTGTCTCTCTCTGCTTCTATCTCTGTGTCTGTTACGAATAAATAAATAAAAGCTTAAAAAAAAGTTCCTGTTTGATCCTGGAAAGAGTATCTTAGCCAAACTACATATGTAGTACATATGTCCCTGCTGTAGAGCTATTTTTGTGCTTTTGGATGGAAGAAGGAAAAATGTAAGGATGAGAGTAAGCTGATTCCTTAACAGGAGAGAGAGAGAGAGAAACATTCTAAATTTAGCTGTGACCCAATATCTGACCTACATTGTCATATCCTCATATAACCACCATGAAGATAAATTGATTAAAAAGTCAAAGGCAGCCTGTGCCATGCTGTGTAGAGTATCCCTTTGGTGACTTGCAAGATTGGTAACCCTCATGGCCTTCATCACCACATTGTTCTGGGTCATGAATATCTATCTGAAGAGAAGAGTATAGGACAAAAAGAGTGGCAACTAGCTGGGACAGAGAAAGTGAGGAATGAAAATGAGGGTAAAAGCCACGCACGGACAATAAAATCAAAACAAAACAAACAAGTAAACAACAACAATAACAACCAAATATATATAGAGAGAGAACCACAGAAGACCCCAATAGCCAAAGCAGTCCTGAGAAAGAACAAAACAGGAGGTATCACACATCCTGTTTCCAAAATATATTATAAAACAAAAATCAAAACATGGGTACTGGCATAAAAATAGACACACAGACCAGTGGCACAGATTAAGAATCCAGAAGTAAACCCATGCATATGTGGTCAACTACTATTTGACAAGGGAGCCAAGAATACTCAATATTTTCTCAGGAGAAAATACAGTATACATTCACTAAATGGTACTAGGGAAATAGAATAATCATATGGAAAAGAATGAAACTTGATCCCTACCTTACACCAGTCACTGGATTAAAGACTTGAATACCTCAAACCCTAAAACTCCTGAAAGAACATATGAAAAAAGCTTCTCAGCAACAACTTTTGGGATATGGCACCTAGAGCACAAGCAACAAAATCAAAAATAAACAAGCAGACTCTCTCAAACTAAAAAGCTTCTGCACAGCAAAAAGAAAGAAAAGGCAATCTACCGAAAGGGATGAACTATTTACAAATCATATCTCTGAAAAGGGTTAATATCCAAAATATATTTTAAAAAGTATACAACTCTATAACAAAAAACTATATAAATGGCCAACAGGTACATTAAAAGGAGGTCATCACTAATCATTAGGGAAATACCAGTCAAAACCACAATGAGATATCACTTCATGCCTGTTAGAATAGTAAGCATCAAAAAGACAAGGGATAAATGCTGGCAAGGATGTGGAGGAAAGGAAGCCTTGGTACAGTAGGAGGTTGTAAATTGGTGCAGCCATTGTGAAAAACAGTATGAAGATTCCTCCAAAAATTAAAAATAGAAATACCATATAATCCAGAAGCTCCACTTCTGGATTTATATCCAAAGGAAGCAAAATCATTATCTTGAAAGATGTCTAGATCCCCATGTTCATTGCAGCATAACTTAAAATAGCCAAGACTTGGAAACAACTTACGTGTCCATTGACAGGTTAATTGGATGAAGAAAATGTGATATGTGTACACAGCATATGAAAGAAAAATGTTTATGCACTCATTGTGTATTTGGGGACACATGAATAATATAAGGCAATGGTTCAATGAAGGCTCTGGAATCAGAATATATGGGCTTTAAATTTCTGTCCCCCAAACAAAATGGCCAGTGACTAGTTACTTAATCTTTAAATCCTCAATGTCCCTATATGTAAAACAGGGTCCTACCATTTGTGACAACATGGACAGACCTGAGGGCATTGTACTAAGTGAAGTAGGTCAGACAGACAAAGACAAATACTGTATGATCTCACTTCCATGTGGGATCAAAGAAAGAAAGAAAGAAAGAAAGAAAGAAAGAAAGAAAGAGGAAAAAAGGAAAAACCAAACTCATAAGAAAAAGAGCTCATGGGGCACCTAGGTGGCTCAGTGGCTGAGGTCGTGATCCCAGAACTCTGCGATGGACCCTGCATTGGGCTCCCTGTAGGGAGCCTACTTCTCCCTCTGCCTGTGTCTATG